GCCGTTTTATTTTTTTAACCACGAAACCTGTGATTTGACCATTTTTCGAAACATAAGTTACTTAATCTTCTATTTCTCTTTTTCAATCTCACTTTCACAAAGTGCTGGATTATAATCTTTCATATAAACTGAAATTAAAATATGTATCCTAATTTTTAAGAGTTATAGATTTAAAAAATGGAAATACTCTGAATTGTAAGAACAACGGTGGTTTTGAGCCTGTTCCTTTTCCAAACGCAACAACATAATGAAAATCTATTTGAAGATGGAGAAGATCCATTTATGACAGTGAAAACATTCAAAACACAAATATAACAAAACATTAGGAACAAGAAATGTGTAAATCCAATGTGTGAAAAATCTATACAACGCTCCCATCGATCACAGAAGCTGAACAAATGGCAAAACATATGTGTTCTTGAACAGGCGCACAGAAAGCCTTAACATCATGAAAACACCAGCTCTCTCAATAATCTATATACTTACAGGAGTCTTCCCCCGAACAACACTGGGTGTCTTCCCTGCAACTAGAAAAATTGGTTTCAGAGTTTATGTGGAATATAAGACAAGCAATGATAGCAAAACAAACTAAAAACAACCCTGGTAACGGAGACAAATCAAAGGGAATGATCCTTAGTTTGCATCGATGGCAGCACTAAACCAGTGATACTGCCGCGCGCACATGCAAGAGAGGAGGGAACCAGAACAGAAGGTAACAAAACAGGCCTGACTGTGTGAGAACGTGACGAGGGCGCCACCTAAGCCCGCAGGACTGCGATCCAGAGGCGCGCACCCTTCACCGCGCTCCAGAGGGCGCCCCGGAGGCCCGCACCCTTCACCGCGCTCCAGAGGGCGCCCCGGAGGCCCGCACCCTTCACCGCGCTCCAGAGGGCGCCCCGGAGGCCTGCACCCTTCACCGCGCTCCAGAGGGCGGACATGCTCTACCACCTGAGAGAGGGGAAAACAACCGCATTATTTCAACAAATGATATCAAAACAAAAAACAAAGAGGGATTGAAAGAGACTTGAAAGAACCTATAAACCAAAGGCAATGAGTAGATTTGAACTCTGATTCTAACAAACCAACTGGAAGAAAAATTCTAAGACAATCAGGATAATTTAATTCCTGACTAGACATGTGATGATAAGGAACTAACATCAATTTTAAGATGTAATAATGGTATTGTAGTTTTGTTTTTTTAAAATGCATTGTATAGCAAGGAAGGGTCTATATATGTAACAATTCTCCGATTTCTCACTGAAAGTATTTAAATAAAGAATTGGGCCGGTCACAGTGGCTCATGCCTATAATCCCAACATTTTAGGAGGCCAACACAGGCAGACTCCTTGAGTTCAGGAGTTTAAGGCCAGCCTAGGCAACATGGTGAAATGCCGTCTCTAACGAAAATACAAAAAATTAGCCAGGCGTGGTGGCGCACACCTGTGGTCCCAGCTACTCAGGAGGCTGAGGTGGGAGGATCACCTGAGCCTGGGAGTTTGAGACTACAGTGAGCCAAGACTGCACCACTGCACTCCAGCCTGTGTGACAGAGTGAGACCCCATCTCAAAAAAAAAAAAAATTGAAAACATAAATAGTATTAATAAATTGATTTAAAAGCCACAGTATTCTTAACAAAACGTCAGGTTTATAAGCAGTATCATTTTAAAATCACATTGCATGTATACCTTGAATTCAGAAATGTGAATGCTTTGGATCTCATTATCTGAGACTGAGAGGGCTCTGCAAATTACACCACACAGTGGATTCACAGTGTTTTCAAACGCTGCAGACAGAGCCACTCGTAACTTGGAGACATGACTACAGCAGTAGTCAGAGGCCATGCAACAATTTTCAAAGTGGGGTCCAAAGAACCCTTTCCAGAGTGGGAGGAAGAACTGAGATGCGTTAAAAGAAAAAAATCATTATTTAAAAAATTCTCATAATTTATCTTGGGCCTACATGGAAACATAAGAAATAAGTACACTTTGTTGGGGTTTGCAGTAATATGTATTTTTTAATTTTGAAAACTTTTCTAATTTTTAAATTTTATCTAAGCTATTTTAGATAATTTTATTAGATATACATTTTTATGTATATATACAGCATATATTTTACTTACATATTTTAATACATATTTTAGATTATTTTGTAATTTTACAATATTCTATTTGAAAAGTAACATTTATTTATAATGTATTTTCTTGTATTTACGAATGGATCACTGGCTTTAATAAGGATTAAAAGATTCAGTTTCTCATCCTACAGATGTTTCATCAAGAAAAGATGAAACTGGCCAGGTGTGGTGGCTCCTGCCTGTAATCCCAGCACTTTGGGAGGCCGAGGCGGGTGGATCACCTGAGGTCAGGAGTTCGAGACCAGCCTGACCAACATGGAGAACCCTGTCTCTACTAAAAATACAAAATTAGCCAGCCGTGGTGGTGCATGCCTGTAATCCCTGCTACTCGAGAGGCTGCGGCAGGAGAATTGCTTGAACCTGGAAGGCAGAGGTTGTGGTGAGCTGAGATCGTGCCACCGTACTCCAGCCTGGGCAACGAGAGTGAAATTCTGTCTCCAAAAAAAAAAAAAAAAAAAGAAATCAAAGGAAAGAAAAGATGAAACTGGAAACTGACACATCAGAGAATTCTCTGACTCATGAGATGGACACATGTGCTCCAGAGAAAGTGGGCTAAACTGTAAATAAATACAAAAAATGTGAGGAAAGTTATTTTTCCCTTGCCTTTGCAGATGTTAATGATTTACCTTATTGTGTCTTATGCAACAATATTTCAAATACTATTATGGTGCAAGTTAACTGCCACATCGATTTGAGACCAATCATTCAGAATCTAAAGAAAAAAAATTAATTTAAATGCAGATGTGATAAATTAATATGTCACCAACAGAACTGTACTTCTGCCTTACAATAGAATCTCTGGACTTACTGTATTCCTTGTAGTTGTCTGGTATCAGCACCAGCTAAGCACAGAAGCTCTTTTATATGAAAGTTGGCCGCACACACAGTGGTAGGGAAATACTTAAATTACTGAATAACTATTTTGAATCTCCCCGTTTTTCCTGGAACAACCGTGTTGACGTTTGCAATGATAGTGCAAAAGCAACGGTGGGTAACACAGCTGCGTCTCAGTGGGAATCAGAGCAGAGACAGTCCTCACGCTACTCTTCACCACTACACACACACAGTAGAAACACTGCACTTTCACATACGAATGTTTGATGAAGCAGTTTATCATACTGATTTTATTAAACTGTTGCCCTCAAGGATACTTTTTAAAAAGAATTCTGTACGGTGAAAAGGAAAGTGTGTATAAAGCACTTCTGCTTCATAATAAAAAACGACGGTTGCCTGGAGAAAAGCACTCCACTTGTACACCTGCACAACTCTTTCAGCGGTAGACTCACCTGACCACTTTTTGTCATGCAAATTGACTTGAAAGAATGACTAGCAGACAGGCAGTGGTTAGTCACATTTTGGGATTAGACACATACTTTCTCAATAATTTGCAAAGTGACTCAGTCCCCTCAGGAAAACGACTGATAGTGTTGGTAGCCCATGATAAATTTTAGCTTTTAAGCAGAAATTAGAATCTTGGAAAATCTATGTCCACCAACATAAGCTTGACAGCTTCCCAATACTTAAAGTCGTTTCTGATGAGGTGGCAGTAATGACTATAGGTTTTGATATTGCATAATGAAATATGTCAATGTTTAGAAGATATACATAACTCAATTAATGAAGATTTTCCAAATGAACCATGCAGAATGCTGCAAAATTATGTGTGTAGGCAAAAAGGATCCATTGAAAGTGCAAGACAGACCAATGAGTTTTAATGTAACAGAGTATGGAAAGTTAACTGATACAATTTCAGATTCCACACTGCAACTACCCTTTAAAAAATGACCATTTTCAAATTTTGGTGAGCTATCAAAGCAGAATTATCTACAATGATCTGCGATGGCTATTAGAATATTCCCGCCTTTCCCAACTACTATGTATGTGGGACTGGATTTTCTTTATACACTTCAACCAAAACAACACATCCCACCAGAAGCAGATATGAGAATTCAGCAGCCTTAGGGCAGAAAATGAGACTTGCAAAAATGTAAAAACAATGCTGCTCCTGTCAAAATTTTTTTTTTTTTGCCTTGGAAAAGAGCATTGTCTTTCATGAAAATATGCTATTTGTGTTAACGTGTAATGAAATTATTTTTATTTTTTAAGTGAAGAAATACATTTTTAAAAATTTAGTTTCAAATATGATAAATATTAATAAGTGTTTAACAGATTTTAAAAAAACTCTTGGGAATGTATGAACACAAAGAAGGAACAACAGATGTGGGGGCCTTCCTGAGAAAGGGTGGGAGGAAGGAGAGGAGCAGAAAAGGTAACTATTGGGTACTGGGCTTAATACCTGGGTGATGAAATAATATGTACAACAAAACCCTATGACATGTGTTTACATATGTAACAAACCTTCACATGTACCCCCAAACCTAAAATAAAAGTTTAAAAAAAATGCTCTGGGGTCCTCAGTAATTTTTTTTTTTTTTTTGAGATGGAGTCTCGCTCTGTTGCCCGGGTTGGAGTGCAGTGGCGTGACCTTAGCTCACTGCAACCTCCGCCTCACAGGCTGAAGTGATCCTTCTGACTCAGCCCCCCTAGTAGCTGGGATTACAGACATACGCCACCACACTTGACTAATTTTTGTATTTTTAGTAGAGACGGGATTTCGCCATGTTGGCCAGGCTGGTCTCAAACTCCCGACCTCAGGTGATCCACCCACCTTGGCCTCCCAAAGTGCTGGGATTACAGGTGTGAGCCACCATACCTGGCTGGGATACTCAGTAATTTTTAAGAGTATAAAGGGGTACTGAGACAAAAACGTTTGGACCCTGCTGTCGTATAGTCTTTCCAACACACCACAGCCTTCTAAGAAAAGGAAAAATGACGCAGGATGACAGGAGACATGAACACCACTTACAGCAAAATGGCCTCGTTTATAGCCTCAAAGAACTCTGGCTGGAGGATTTCCTGAGGTTCATGTCCGTGACAGACGAGCAAAGCCTCCACCAGGGGGTCAACATCTGGCAGGGTAATAAGTGGGACACAGACACGTGACAGGGACGCCAATCGCTCGGGAGTCATTCTATGGAAGAAATAAGAAATAATCACCCAAATCTAAGAGCCACGCATAATTAAGGACATATAAAACCTTCATGCTAAAAAGGTCAACGACAGATCACCTGTTTTGCCTCTAAATAAAGAGAATGACTCTAACACCATCGATGAACACTGCTCTTTTATCCAATTCTTTAGGAAGACATCTTTTAGCCGCCAATGCTGTTTCAGTGTCATTCATGGTCAGGACTTTGTTCTTTATATCCACAGGCACTTAATATGTCCAAAACACAACTCCTGAAATCCCTTCCCAGTGTTCCCTTTCCCCAGTGCCATCTCGTTTGCTCAGGCCCAAATGCTGATTCCTCCCTTTCTCTCAGGCCCCTCATCTGATGCATCAGTGAATACCAGCAACACGTCCGACCTCTTCCGAACGCCTCCATCACTGCCCTCCTACGTGGAGAGTAACCCACCACCTCCAGCCTCTGGACTTCTTGCTTCTGCACTCACTCCTGTAGTTTAACATCAGAACACTTCCAGCACCCCTTTAAAAATTCAGATCACAACACTTGTCTGCTCAAAGCTTTGCAATGGCTTCCCACCTCATGCAGAGAATAAGCAATGTCTTTCACTAGCCAGCAAGTCCTTCCGTGGTGGGTCCCCGTCTGTTTCACTGACTTCATCTCCTTCCACTCTTACCTTTGTCTTTTCTGCCTCTGACTGCCCCAAGTAAGGTCCTGCGGTCCCCAGTTGCAGCTCAAATGTCCCTTTGTTAAGTGAGGTCTTCTCTGATCATCCCATGTCACTATACTGTCTACCATGTGTGGCAATTTAAATGTAAATGAATTAAAATGAAATTAAAAATCCAGCTCAACTGCAGTAGTCACAGCTGAAGTGCTCAACAGCTATGGGCGGCTGGCGGCTACAGTCCCGAACAGCACACACGTACAGGATGTGCCTGGGACCATGTACAGGATGCGCCTGGGACCACACAAAGCACCGCTGGACACTGGAGCTTCATGCGCCCTCCTACCCGTGCTTTACTTCTCTTCCTGGTACCTTTCACCATCTGACCTATACGGTATTCCCTTGTAGTACTCATGGTTCGCTTCCTCCTGAGAGGGCAGAAGCTCTATGATGGCAGGCAGCTTCTCCTACTTTGCCCACCACTCTATTCCTAGCACCTAGGGACAACTCCTCACACACAGCACATGCTCAACAAATCCATCTCCAGTGCAGTGAACGATAAATAAAATGAAAGTTCTGGGTGGACCCTATTCAACGTTTTTCTAGGTATTTTCATATGTAATTGTAAATATAGAAATTTAGTCTTGTGTTTTGTGAAACACAAATGGCACCACAGTGTAGAGCATATAGCTGTCCCTCATTCTTAAAAACTTGCTGCCTATTATTAAAACACACGTGTTCTGTAATTTAACAATGCCACTATCAGTAGGCACTGAGGCTGTTTCTGGTTTTTCACTATTCAAACAGGGCTGTGGCGCTACCCTTGCCCATGCCTGTCTGTGCCCACGTGTGAGAACTTGCATATTAAATTGCCTTCCAAGGCCAGGGGCGGTAGCTCACACATGAAGTCCCAGCACTTTGAGAGGCTGAGGCAGGCAGATCGCTTGATCCCAGAAGTTCAAGACCAGCCTGGGTCACATGGAAAAACCCCCTCTCTACAAAAAATACAAAAACTAGCTGGGTGTGGTGGTGCGTGCCTGCAGCTGCAGCTACTCGGGGGACTGAGGTGGGAGGTTGCTCGAGCCCAAGAGGTCAAGGCTGCAGTGAGGTGAGCTGTGTTCACACCACTGCACTCCAGCCTGGGAGACAGAGCGAGACCCTGTCTCAAAAAAAAAAAAAAAAACAAACACACACACACACACACACACACAAAAATGCCTTGCAAAAGACCAATTTACTTTTCCACCCCTTCCAATGATACCATTTTTTGTTTCTATTTCTCAAAAATTTAACGAACAAAAATTGCTATTTCATTGCCTTAATTTGCATTTTCCTGATAACTTGTGAGACAGTAATTGTTACCCACTTGTATTTACTCGTCACAGAATTTGTTTATATATTTGTGTATCATTGTCCTATTTGTTAATACCTATTTATTGATCCCCTATTGTAGTCAAGGCTCTGTTTGAGGTGTACGTGATACAGATGCAAAGATGACAAGGTCTCATCAGGGACAGGAGCAATATAATGCCAGATGATACTGAGTATCATGCTGAAAAGAATACTCAGAAGTGACAGAAATTTACTAAGAAGGTGACATGTGAGCAGTGCTCTGAAGGAAGTACATGAACAAGCCACGTATGTATCTGGGAGGAAAACACTGCAGACAGATGAAAAGCAAATGCAAAGGCCCTCAGCATCTGAAAACAGCGACAGGGGACCCACGTGGTCACACCCAGTGAAAACAGCGAGGGGACCCACGTGGCCACACCCAGTGAAAACAGCGACAGGGGACCCACGTGGTCACACCCAGTGAAAACAGCGACAGGGGACCCACGTGGTCACACCCAGTGAAAACAGCGAGGGGACCCACGTGGTCACACCCAGTGAAAACAGCGACAGGGGACCCACGTGGCCACACCCAGTGAAAACAGCGAGGGGACCCACGTGGTCACACCCAGTGAAAACAGCGAGGGGACCCACGTGGTCACACCCAGTGAACCAGGGAGGATGGCGGAAAGGCTTCTGTAGATCACTGTAGGGGGCCTGCATATTCTTTTTTAAAAAACTTTTTTCATTTTTATGAAATTAATAAATGCAACTATATTTTTTAAATTTAGAATATGTATTTACTTTTAAATTTTTATTTCAATAGCTTGTGGGTAAAAGTAGTTTTCTGTTACATGGATGAATTGTATAGTGGTGAATTCTGAGGGGTTTTTTTTTTGTTTTTTTTTTGTTTTGAGACGGAGTCTCGCTCTGTCGCCGAGGCTGGAGTGCGATGGCTCCATCTCAGCTCACAGCGAGCTCCGCCTCCCGGGTTCACGCCATTCTCCTGCCTCAGCCTCCCGAGTAGCTGGGACTACAGGCGCCGCCACCACGCCCGGGTAATTTTTTTGTATTTTTAGTAGAGACGGGGTTTCACCGTGTTAACCAGGATGGTCTCGATCTCCTGACCTGTGATCCGCCCGTCTCGACCTCCCAAAGTGCTGGGATTACAGGCTTGAGCCACCGCGCCCGGCCGAATTCTGAGATCTTAATGTGCCCTCGCCCGAGTAGATTGCACCTAATGTGTAGTTTTTTATCACTAGCCCCCATCCCACCCTCTTCCCGCTTCTGAGTCTCTGAAGTCCATTATGTCACTCTGTATGCCAGCAACGTCCAATCTTTTTGGCTTCCTTCTTTTTGGAAAAAGAATTGTCTCGGGTTACACACTAAATACACTAATACCAACGATAGTTGATGCGCTTAAAAAAAATCTCAAAAAACCTCAATGCTTTAAGGAAGTTTACAGATTTGTTTTGGGCAGCATTCAAAGGTGTCCTGGGCCGCATGCAGCCACGGGCCATGGGTCCGACAAGCTTGCTGTGTGTCTCTGTGTACTCATAGCTTAGCCCGCACTAATAAGTGAGAACATAACAGTTTGTGATTTTCCACTCCTGTGTTACTCCACTTAAAATAATGGCCTCCAGCTCCATTCAAGCTGCAACAAATGATATTATTTTGTTCCTCTGAATGGCTGAGTAGTGTATATATACCACATTTTCTTTCTCCACTGATTGCTGGATGGGCCACTTATGTTGGTTCCACATCTTTGCAATTGTGAACTGTGCTGCTATAAAACTACATACGCAAATGTTTTCATTTTTTTCTAGAAAGACACCTTTTCCTTTGGGTAGATAACCAGTAGTGTAATTGTTGGATCAAGTAGTAGATCTACTTTCAGCTTTGTAAGGAATCTCCACACTGTTTTCCAGAGGTCGCACTAATTTGTATTCCCACCAGCAGGTATGTGTTCTCTTTTCCCCACATCCATGCCAACATCTATTGTTTTTTGACTTTAAAAATGGCCATTCTTGTGGGAGTCAGGTGGTATCTCATTGTGGTTTTAATTTGCATTTCCCTGATGATTCATGATGTCGAGCATTTTTTCATATGCTTGGCCATCTGTACATCTTTTGAGAAATGTCTATCATGTCCTTTGCCCACTGTTTGATGGGATTGCTTTTTTCTTGCTGATTTGAGTTCCTTGTAGATTCTGAATACTAGTCCTTTGTCAGATGCATAGTTTGCAAATATTTTCTCCCACTCTGTTGGCTGTTTACTCTGCTGATTATTTCTTTGATGTAACTACTTTAAAATGGTCAAATAGTTATTCAAAGCTAATGAAAATAGCAGCTTTTGAAAGGGCATTCCTATCCCCATTTTCTGATATCCAGAAATAACTACTTTCAACCCTAATTAATTCTTTAGTACTTCAGTGTGTTGTCTGTTGTTCAATACAAATTGTAACATCAAATTTGTAGTGGGAGGGCTGGGTGTGGTGGCTCATACCTATAATCCTAGCACTTTGGGAGGCCGAGGAGGGCAGATCACCTGAGGTCAGGAGTTCGAGACCAGCCTGACCAATATGGTGAAACCCCACCTCTACTAAAAATACAAAAATTATCCAGGCAGGGTGGTGGGCGCCTATAGTCCCAGCTACTCAGGAGGCTGAGACAGGAGAATTGCTTGAATCCAGGAGGCGGAGGTTGCAGTGAGCCGAGATCACACCACTGCACTCCAGCCTGGGCAACAGAGCAAGACTCTGTCTCAAAAAAAAAAAAAAAAAAAAAGGAAAGAAAAGAAAAATTGTAGTGGGAGATCCATCAGATTACGGAGAAAAGAGAAGTCCAGGATGTTTCTGATAGGAACGTAAATAAATAAGCACACACACTTTGGAGAACAACTGGTAGCAACGTGCCACCATTTCTTCTTACAGGTTAGGGAGACAAACAGAACTGTTTGTAAAAGGTAGATTCGATCTTGCTGTGAATTTGTACAGAAATGAATAAATGATGA